CCCACAAACCTACCACCACTCATGTTAAACCAGGTGTGGTGCTGTAAGCCGGTTCATCGTAGCTTTTGTTACCCTTTCAAAAACCAAGCTTCGGGTTATGGCACTGGCACGCTCAAATGTGGAGCATCACTTTGCATCGGGGGTTTTCTGTCAGTAGCTTGGTGTTTGGGAAGCTTTGATGCAGTTTTTGCAGAAGTGGATGGTGGATTACAGCCTGGCTTTTTTGTCCACACATGAACAGCAGCTTTTGAAAAAGCTCCGTAAGATGAAGTTTTCTGTGTTTGCATGCGGATGACGGCAAAAAAGATTTTGTCTCGCAATGTCAGAGGTGCGCACATTTATCTCACTGTGCGTGGTGTTATTGCTTGGATGAGAAGATTTTCTTTAGTGATGGAGAAGATCTTGAAACATTGCAGACTGGACTTTTGTTCACCTTATGACTTCCCCCACCCAGGCTTCTGGCCTATAAAAACAACCAACACCAAAGTACAGTTTGTAATGTTTGTACCTTTGCACAGAAAATTAAAGGCTATGTGCATGTGTGTGTACACATAAAGGCACATAGCCTTTAAGGTTTTTATCATGCTGGAGAGATTATGTCCCTCTGGTGCAGGGGTCTGAGCATCTCTGCTGAAACTGCTTTTCTGGTAACCAGGCAAAAAATGGATGGAGTAACTGTAATATGATTACTTAATTCAGGAGCAGTGTTGCCTGACATTAGTGCATTAAACAGAAATGTAATGCCATCACTGATGTATTACAAAGTAACACTGCTGACAGTGGATCTTAAAGCTTTGTTTTCCTGAAAAAGACAGCCCAGTGCAGCTGCAAAACATTTACGAGACATGTATGCACTGACCTGAAAGCTGAACCCTTCGGTGTGTCAAAGTGTCATTTCTCAGAATATTAATTAAGTTCTACCTTAAGTAAATATGATAAAACAGGCTAATTTTAGCAATAAGCACGATAGCACCATACATTCAAGTAACCTGGTTTTACTTGAGCAGTGGGAAATTCTTGGGGTTAGCAATATAGCCCACATGCTTCAAGGGTTGTCATGTTGTGCGTTCGGAGATGCTCCTCGTCTGCCTTGGTTGTAACGAGTGGTTATTTGACTTGCTGTTGTCTTCCCAGCAGCTCAAAGCAGTCTGGCCATTCTCTTCCGACCTCTAACATCAATAAGGCATTTTCACCCAGAGAACTGCCGCTCGCTGGATATTTTCTCTTTTTCTGACCATCCTCTGTAAACCCTCGAGTTTACAGTTTCTGAAATACTCAGACCAAACATGCCACCTTCAAAGTCACTTAAATCACATTTCATCCCCATTGTGATCATTTGATAGTTGGGATTTTCTCTTTACCTTACAATATAAAGTGCCTTGAGGTGACTGTTGTCATTACTTGATGCCATATAAACAGAACTATACTGCAGGACATCTTAAGCTGTGCCTCAATGTACAGTTTCTACCATGCGATTGGCTGATTGGATATTTATATTACTGAGCAGTTAAACAGGCATACCTAAAAAAGGTGGTTTGTGAGTGTTATCATGTCCAGTATCTGCAACACACAACATAAATTCATGCAGGATTTTTTGTTTTCTTTTCAGTGGTATTAAAAAAATCTAAGCAGATTTAGAGCTGATACAGATTTAACTCGTTATGAACTGATGATCCGTGATGAAT